GTGGAATATGGACAAAAGCTGAAGATGACCAAGCAGATTAATCCTGGTAGCGTGAAGGAATGCACACAGTGGCATTCGTTCATGCTACCAGGATTAATCTCCAACCCATTGCATCCGACGAAATGGTTGTTGTTATGAAAGCTCATGCAGTTTTTATGCTTCTCTCTTCTCCAGTTAGTCTGTGAAGTGCCACCCCCGTTTGCAAATGCATGAAAGGGTACAGAAAGAACAGAATAAATGCATGAAAAAAAGGACAATGTCATTTCTGCATACACTTTGACTCCATGACAAAAGATAGTGTGCACCCGACCCCGGTTCCTTCAGGTTCAGTCAAAGGGTACAAGTTGTGAATTATGGAATCACCTAATCCACTTATACATGGTAGGAGGAAATAACCTTGACGGTCGTCATCTTTGCTGGCTATAGCTTCAAATAAGTCGACAGGGAATAACAGAACAAATTCAGCCAAAAAAAGTACATTCACCTGTTTGCTTGCGACCCTTCAAGTCTGCATTAATACCTGCACCACAGGTGAGTCTTGGCTTTTCTTGTGGCTTTTTTTTTGTGCAGTTGAAAAAATAAATTGAAGCAACTAAAATTAGTCAAAGTTCAAAGTGAACTAATGTTGAAATTTGGCAAGCAAACATGTACACGTATACACGTTTGTCTGTATTATGGATTCTGCTTCTTTTTAGCTGCTGACTTTGGGAGCCAAGGCTCCACGCACCTCATTGCTTAAAGCTAAATAAATGCAATAGACATGCACTCAGCACACAAACAAATGGCCAGTTGATTTGGTTTTGATTTCTTGTACACAGATGTGAATTTCTCTACCTGTTCTTAGCGTTGACAATAAGTAATGGCAAATGGTAGTGCAGCCGACGTTCTACAAAAGATCAGCGAGCGTCATCTAGAATGCTCCATCTGCTGCAACCTATTCACTGAACCCAAATTTCTCGACTGCTTGCATACTTTTTGCTTGAAATGTCTCCACAATATCAGTCAAAGTGAAGGCCCCCAAATTCTAACACTTGAATGTCCTCTGTGCAGACATGAAACCACACTGGCAAACAAAAGGTTGGAGGATCTGCCGACTAACATCACCCTGAGTGCCCTAGTGGAGGAGTTTGCAATTCAGGAACAGCTTCTACAAGGTCAAGGGTCAGAGATCAAATGTCAAAGTTGTGATGAGCAAAATCCGGCAGCTTTATTCTGCATGGACTGTGCTTATTTCTTGTGTCAAGTCTGCCAAGAGGCTCATGGCCGCTTGAAAATAACAAAATCTCACAAAACCT